CCCTCCTACTCATTGGGGTTACATGAACCTCGTTTTCAAGGTTCTCTTCCAAAGCTATCATTATATGATTGTATGACATAACCTTAACATTTATCTTAAATACTGTTAAGTGACCTCAATTTATGTTCTCCCTATTAATGAGCCATCTCCAAAATGTCCTGTCCTCAATAGCCTTGCTCAGCTCTTGCAAACCCAAGCCTGTGGCTTCCTTTAGGGAGTCAATCCATCCTATGCTTGGTCTTCCTCTTTTCCTGCTGTCTTCAAACTTTCCCAGCATTATTGTCTTTTGCAGAGATTCCTACCTTCTCATGATGTGCGCAAAGTAGCACCGCCTTTTTCAACTTTTTGCCTCCAGAGATAATTCAGGCTTCATTTGCTCTCGGACCCACTTGTTTCTCTTTCTCGGTAATCCAGGGTATCCACAAAGCTACTGCCTTGAGTCCCCTATGGAGTCATCATCATCATCATCATCATACACCGTCAAAAAAGTTATTACTTATGGTGACTTATTCAGGATTTTCCAGGGAGAAAGGGGCATATAAATACTACAACACAACGTAACACATAGAAACTGCAGCTGGAGCCTTTATAATATAATCACAGGAGATAATAATTAAATTATATGCTTCTTTACGCATATAGCTTCTTTGCCTGGATGGCTGAAGGAGCTGTTTTTTTTTTAACTCCTCAGGCTGCTATAAGGGCTTCTGAGGGTAGGGTTGCCAGATACATGGGTACCAAAAAGAGGACACAGACAAAAAGGCCGACAGAGGAGGGCGTATTGAATGTTTCATTTGAAACATTTCAGATTAAACCCACAATCAATACAATTTTATTACAATAGCTGCCAATAAATGTCTCTTAGTGAACCGACCAAGAAAGTCATGTTAAAAAAATAAAAATAAATTCAATTGGAGGCTTTTGTTTTTCCAAATACCAAAAAACACTATTGAGACAAAAAGGCCGACAGAGGAGGGCGTACTGAATGTTTCATTTGAAACATTTCAGATTAAACCCACAATCAATACAATTTTATTACAATAGCTGCCAATAAATGTCTCTTAGTGAACCGACCAAGAAAGTCATGTTAAAAAAATAAAAATAAATTCAATTGGAGGCTTTTGTTTTTCCAAATACCAAAAAACACTATTTAAATAGCCAATTGTACCCGAACCCACCCTGGCCTGGCTGCTGGATCCTCTGGCCACTCACACTCTGCATAGGCTCAGAGGCAACCTTGCTAATCTGGACACCCAAACAAGGCTTCGGCACAGGCAGGGGGAAAGTGGCACCAGGCAAAACCAAATGAGGCAGCCTCCCCTCCCCCAAGGGTCGTAAGTTCAAGGCTGGGGAGAGGAACCAGAAGTTGCTGCGGAAGGGGGAATCCCGGGCATGGAGGTGCGAGACCCCACTCTGGATCCACTCCCAGTGCCAGCTGCTCCAGATCCTGGCCTGCTGCCTGTTGAAGCGCCAGCATTGTGGCTGCGGCCGCCGCCTCAGATTTGGCTGTGGGGGAGGGGAGTAGAGATCCAGCAACTTATGACTCACATGCACACAGAAAGAGCTCTGGTTGCCAGCTGTGGCCCGCATGCCATGGGTTCACCGTCACTGCTCTATAAGGTTTGACAGGACATGAAAATCTTTGTAACTTTCCAACTGGCGCTCGGAACTTCATCAAGAAGCCTGAATAAAGTACAGCGGTTTTTATCAATGGCTGAAATCCTGTTGGTGAGCGTCACAGCAGAATGCGCTATTGAATTTAATAAGTCGACTCCTCTGGAAGTTCCAGATGTAGCATCACAGCAAAATGCGCTATTGAATTGAGGGATTTGATAAGTCGACTCCTCTGGAAGTTCCAGATGCAAATAGGCCTACTTTAGTTATGACTAACTATGCTAAAATAGGCCACATTTAGAGTAAGACTCATTTGAATCAATTGAATGTACAGAGGAGTTGGCTCACCAACACTGATTCAACTGGCTTAATCTAATGCGATTTAGTACAGTGGACCCTCGACTTACGGAATTAATCCGTACTGGAACGGTGGCCGCAGGTCAAAAAGTCCGTAGGTCGAGGCTCCATTTCCCATAGGAATGCATTGAAAACTGATTAATCCGTTCCAGCCAAAGAAAAAAAATCCCGGGCTTCCAAAAACTGGCAGCGGGAACGGAGGTTGGGGCTGCTTTTGGCTTGTGGGGCTTCGAAAGCTACACCCGCTGCCCTCTGTCTCCTGTCCCTGGTGCCCTCTGCCTCCTGTCCATAGGAGGCAGAGGGCACCGGGGACAGGAGGCAAGAGGGCAGAAGGGGCTGCTTTGAATTACCCGCCCTTTCCCCCTGCCTTTTGTAGGTCTAAGCTCCAGCTGCAAGTCGAACTAAAATTTTGCGGCTGGAGCTTTTCGTACCTCGAAATTTCTGTAAGTAGGGACCTCCGTAAGTTGAGGGTCCACTGTACACTGAACGGTATTTACAACAGAGAAATATATGCTTTCACCCCCCAAAAAAAAAATTGAGAAAAGGGGTAAATGCGTCCCATTATAACATTTTCTAACCTCCTGTACTATCAGCAATGTTTACGACAAAACTGAAATGTTTGTAGACTTTATAACGTACACTATAGATGCTCAATGTGTGTCATTTTGATAAATAATATATTCCCAAGGATTTTAATGAAAAAACCTATTTTCCTTTATATTTTTTCTCTCTGATTCACTGTAAGTAAAGATTGACCCACCTTAAGAAAAGATACATGAACATTTTCTATACTTAATAATTAAAGATGTGTCACTAATTGAGCTATAATCTTTGTTGCCCCACACATCTCCATTCAGGAAACATAATACAAATAAATATTCCCTGTTTGATGGCATGCTACCATGGTGTCATAGCCATTAGACAGGCAGGCGAGACAGCAAAAAAGTTGTTGATTAACTCCTGTTACATAATGTATGTGTGCAGGAGTGTGATGACATCACTAGGATTACACAGCCATGGGAAGAAGTAGAATGTTTTTAATTACTAAAAATCAGCCTGAACTGGTGACATCACCCTTCTACAGGGATCATGCCAACAGGATTTAAGCTAGTGAGTTATTGTCTGGCCTTGCAATTGCAGAATACCTGAAGCACCCAGAAAGAGAAATATTTATTTATTTATTTTATTTAACTTATTTGCCGCCCACTCTACCCAAAGGTCTCTGGGCGGCTTACATAGCCTGCAATGAGTCTGCAGCAGTTAATTAATTCTGTTTATTCCCACAATCCTCATTTTGCATACGCTACAAAACTACAAAGAAAAAGTACACGATAACAAGATATTTCCAATCAATCAACCAGACCAAAACTAAACAGACATAAAATGTCATTTAACTGAAATGGCATAAGTATTTGTTACCATCTGATAAAATTTACAACTTTCGCCTTCCCAGAATCAATCTGGCAAATATCGGCAAATTGTATGTTACAAAATAATCTGTTCCAAACAGAACCAGGGAAAGTTAAAAAAATTTGGACTTTTTCACCATGTTGTTAAAATAGCATTGGGCCACTTAGTGCCAAGGTAGTTTGGAATTGCTGTAGATTAGGCACCTCTGCTCAGCACCCACAGAATGTCCGAATTTGGAAATGACAGCATGCATTTCAGTGTTGGCCTCCGCAGGCGTTTTCTCTGAAACCTCCCACTCACAATCATTCAGATGCACCACCAGTGATTTGGACAATGACACTCCAATCTCGTGGGCACTGGGTGGGAAGGTTGTGTATCGACAGCCACCCAAATGAAAAGATCATTCACCAGCAAACAATAGGACTTGCCATCAAGATGCAGCCACAGGAAGTGGGCCTGGTGACAAATCAATATAAGAACCTGAACCCCACATTTACAATGGGAAAGCCCTTACAGAAAATGTAATCCACAACATGAAGAGTTTGTACTCTGGCTTGTAAGTATGCTCCAGTGTAATGTCATCTTTTATCAGCAATGTTGTACAGTGTTCAACACTGGACCAAGTGGCCAGTCTCTACATAAACAAATAAATGGACACAAATCTGAATTAGAAACAATAAACTTCAGAAGACAGTACAAGAGCACTGGAATCTTCCATGGCAAAGCTTCTGACTCGAGGGTGTTTGTCTTTGAACACCACCACAGGGTTACGGATAGATAAGAATACATCCACAGCATCACCTCTATCTGCCTTGGTTTGAACAGGAACAAAGGCTTTTTACCTTACTACATATATTACCCAGCCCTCTTGTGTAGGTTTATCTGTATTGCCACTCCTGGGGTATATCTGATGGCTAGTGTGTGTGGACATTTTCTCTGCTTAATTTCTTTACGCCTACTCTCACCAAACCTTCACCAATGCATTCATTCATAAAATAGTACTATTGGTATTGTTTCAGTGCAAGCTAACTGAAAATTATGGTGACTATTTTTCATTGGAGGAACAGGAATAGGCAGGAACAGAAATTGTATCAGTCAATAAACTGAATGAGTTTTCTGGTAAGAAGTAAGCAAAATATTTATCAAACTCGGAACATCCATGGCTCTTTTCTCCACTGTGATGGATTTGTTGCCCAAATACTGATTTGTAAGGATGCCTTTTCCTACACTTTTATATCCTTCTTCCTTACTAAAGACATCCTGTGGCTTCAGTTAAATTTAAAAGTTTAGCAAATCACGTTCTACAATCAGACTTTAGTTGTTTTTTTCCCCTATGTAGATCAGAGGTCTGAATTGTAATCTACACTTTTATACCCTTCTTCCTTACTAAAGTCATCCTGTGGCTTCAGTTAAATTTAAAGGTTTAGCAAATCACTTTCTACAATCAGATTTTAGTTGCTATTTTCCCTATGTAGATCAGAGGTCTGAATTGTAAACAGAACATCTTTCACAATACTAGGATTTGAGTAATTTCATCCAATTGTGGATTTCCGGATGCCACATAGGATATGCTTCCCAATCAAAACATTTCCCATGCTTCTGGCATCTGTATAGTTTCTCTACTCTGTGGATTTCATGATGTGTCACAAAGTGCCAATTCTGAGCAAAATCTTGTCCACCGGTTTCTCTCCTGTGTAGAAAGTATGGTCTCCCATAACGTATGAATTAGGAGCAAAACATTTTTCCCACTCCAAGAACTCTTGTGTTTTCTCTCTCGCATGGACTCTATGGTGTTTCAAAAGGGATGAACTGGAAGAAAAGCATTTTCCACACTTGTCACATTTATATGGTTTCTTTCCTGTATGGACAGTCTGATGCGTTACAAGGTACGAATTATGAGCAAAACATTTCCCACACTCCTGGCATTTGTATGGTTTCTCTCCTGTGTGTACTGCCCGGTGCTTCACAAGATCTGACTTCTGAGCAAAGCACTTCCCACATTCCTGGCACTGGTATGGTTTCTCTCCTGTGTGGACTCGCTGATGCTTCATAAGGTCAGACTTCTGAGCAAAGCATCTCCCACACTCCTGGCACTGGTATGGTTTTTCCCCTGTGTGGACTCGCTGGTGCTTTACCAGGCTTGAACTGCAGGCAAAACATTTTCCACACTGCTGGCATTTGTATGGTTTCTCTCCTGTGTGACCCCTCTGATGTGTCACAAGATGTGAATTCTGAGCAAAACATTTCCCACACTCTTGACATTGGTACGGTTTCTCTCCCGTATGGACACCTTGGTGCCTCATAAGGTTAACATTGCAAGCAAAACATTTCCCACACTCCTGACATTTATATGGTTTCTCTCCTGTGTGGACTCTTCGGTGCATCATAAGATGTGAATTCTGAGCAAAACATTTCCCACATTGCAGGCATTTGTAGGGTTTCTCTCCTGTGTGGACTCCCTGATGCTTCACAAGGTTTGCATTACAAGCAAAGCACTTCCCACACTTCTGGCATTTGTACGGCTTTTCCCCTGTGTGGACTCTTTGGTGCATCACCAGATGTGAATTGTGAGGAAAACATTTCCCACACTCAGGGCATTTGTATGGTTTCTCTCCTGTGTGGACTCTGTGGTGTTTCAAAAGAGCGGACTTAGAAGCAAAACATTTCCCACACAGCTGGCATTTGTATGGCTTCTCTCCTGTATGGACTCTGTGGTGTTTCAAAAGGGCAGAATTTGAAGCAAAACCCTTCCCACATATCTGACATTTGTGTGGCTTCTCTCCTGTGTGGACTCTGTGATGCACCACAAGGTGTGAATTGTGAGGGAAAGATTTTCCACACACATGGCATTTGTAGGGCTTTTCACCTGTGTAGACTCTCTGGTGGTTCTCCAGACGTGAACAGGCAGCAAAATATTTTCCTGACTCTTCACGTCCATTTTTTTTCTTCCCAGTATGCACCTTTTCATGAAGCACAAATGTCACATCCTGGGTGAAGCAGTTCCCCCACACAGGGCACTTGTAGAGTTTCTCTTCTCTTTCCATTTGCTGGTGCTTGGCAAGTTCCAGCCTGTGTGTAAATAGCTTCCCACATTTGCTGCAGGAATTTGTTTTCCGCCAGTCATCTGTTGGAGAGAAAAACAAGCCCAGATGAAGTTATCTGAAGGAGAAGAAAACTGAGGGAGTAGAAAAAGGACTAAACAACTGTACATTCTGAAAGGAAAAAAAGGTTTAAAAAAGGAGAAGTGCTCTATCTTTTCTTCCCCTCATGTTATTTTACACTTCAGGTGATTGACATTTTATTTTATCAGGCATTTTACAAATTGTTTTAATGCTTTTAGATTTTTGCACACTTTGATCTTGCTGCTTTTATTTTGGCTTTTCACACCATCATGTTTTTGTGCTTCACTGCTGCTTTTATCTTGGTTTTATTATTTACTATCTCTCCTCAGTGTCCAGTACTTTTTATTTTGTATTTTTAGAGAATTCTACAGTATTGCCCCAAAGCCCTTGCTTAGGGGTTGCAGGGTGTCCAAAAATCAAAGAAATAAGTGAATAATTATCAGTCACAATAACTACATGTTGTTGGTGCCAAATGATTGGCTGGGAAATCTTGTTTATAACCTTTCCAAAGCCACAAATATGTATTTTCATAATGTATTTACCAGAACAGGCCACTAAAGGGAGCCAGATACCATGGTATGTATTCTTGTTATTGAACCATACATAACATGGTCTTTGATTCCCTCTAGTGCCTTTGCATCATACACTACATTGCCATCAAAGAATAGTGTTGATTATTTCAGTCTAAAAGCAAAATCCTTTGGCATGTCCTTCTTCTGGTCATACAATTAGTAACAGAAGTAAAGAACTGCAAGGGCCGAGGATAACCTAATAGTCTTCCTTGCTAATCCACAGCTAAAGAATCCCTGAGAGATGGTCATCCAGCTTGTGTTGAAAAGTCTTCCAGCAAACAAAGACCTCCCAAATTTGTCCCATGGACAATCAGTTCTTACTATCAGGAGCTTCTTCCAAACGGTATGCTGTTATATTCTTTCTCAAAGTTATAATACACTGGGTTGGGTCTTACCTTCCAGAACATTATAAAGCAGGTTTTATTTAATCTTTCATGTGACAGCCGCTCAAATATTTGAAGAAGACAATCATATCATCTCTCTCCCAGGCTGAGCATACCCATCTCCCCCAAATATTTCTCATAGGGTGTGATTTCCAGATATGTTCCCATCTCTTGATATCCTAGTTCAACTGGGATTCCCTTACCAGGACACAGCAGTCTAGGGTTACCCTGCTTTATTATGTGTTAAAATAATACAATATAGCTATATGTAGCTTGTATCGACAAATACATAAAGCAACATTTGTGACAGAACAATATGTTACCTTCTCAGAATGACCTTTTAATATAACGAATTATTTTACCCTAATAGATTGTTCCAGTGAACTTTGACGTTATTTTTCCAGGTGGAAGTTGACCAATTCACACTAGAGTGGTATCATTATTTCCTTTGAAGGTGGAATCCCACCCATCACATCTCTCCAGGATCACAGCACCGGAGGTGAGGACACCTGGGGGTTCAAGCTGCCGGCCAGCTACAAATCCACCTAAGAGTATCCTGGGCCAGCTCTGATGTTACCAAACTTGGGCCTGAAGCTACACAAAGGGAAAGAAGAGGCCATGGATGAGGACTCAAGTCACAAGACTCGCTGTCAAGTCAGACAAGTCGCACCGGCAACTCAACTCAGACTTGACTCCATTTCCCCCCTCTCCCCATGACTTAGACTCAATCTGCAACATGGAACCCACTTTTTTTCTGAGGAAAAAAGTTTTATGTATTTGCGAAGGCTTTCACGGCCAGGATCTAATGGTTGTTGTGGGTTTTTCAGGCTCTTTGGCCATGTTCTGAAGGTTGTTCTTCCTAACGTTTCACCAGTCTCTGTGGCCAGCATCTTCAGAGGATAACACTTCAGAGGACACCAGAGCACAGAATGCTGTCCTCTGAAGATGCCGGCCACAGAGACTGGCGAAACGTCAGGAAGAACAACCTTCAGAACACCGCCAAAGAGCCGAAAAACCCACAACAACCGAAAAAAGTTTTTTTCTGAGTTAAAATGTTGGGTTCCATGTTGCGGATTGAATCTAAGTCATGGGGGAGCGGGGAAACGGAGTCAAGTCTGAGTTGAGTTGCCGGTGCGACTGTTTTCTGAGGAAAACAGGTTGTTTTTAATAGGGACTCAGACTTGGTGGTGCGACTCTTTTTTTGAGGAAAATAGGTTGTTTTTAATAGGGACTTGGCACCAAAGACTCAGACTCAGGACTCAGACCGAAAGACTTGCCAACACCCCTGGAAGAAGTCAAGAAGGGGAAAGAAACTCATAAAAGGTCAAGACTGTGCCAGGAACACAGCACCCCACCCAAATAGGAAACAGGATGGATTCAGAGCAAAGCAAAAGGCTTACCAAGATAGGCCACGTTCTCATAGTTTTCCATCATAACCTCCTTATACAATAATCTTTGGCTCCAATCCAGCAGGTGCCACTCCTCTTTTGTGAAATACATGGCCACGTCTTCAAAGCTGACTCGTTTCTGAAACCAGAAAAAGAAAAAAAATCCAAACCATGCTCAGGAGGACTAAGGAAATGTGAAAGGAAAGCTTACGGTATCGCTGCAACTGAACTTTACCACTTCAGAAGACCAAGCGGAAAAACACAGATTTCAAAGTGTTTCTAAAGTATTGTGTCAGTATCAATCCCCAGTAACAGTCATTGGGAGAACAGTCGTTGGGAGACGTGGCTCAAGTCCCCACTGAGCTATGAAACTCGCCTGAAAGCCTTTTGTCTGACCCTTCCCCCTCACAGATTTAGTTTGAGAAGGAAGAGACCCTGTTTAACTATGCTGTTCTGCTATGAACATGGCAGTTAAACTGTGGTGGGTATTTTCCACATCATTCTGGCTCTGCATGTCAGCAAAATGGGAGGCAAGAAAGGGAGAAAGAGAGATTGGGAGGGGAAGAGAGAGAAGGCAAAAATGGTACAACACTTTGTCTGTTTTTTGGCCTCCCCCCTCCCCACCCCCACCCCACAATTTTGCCAACAGTTGTGGGAAGTGCTGCAAAACAGAGAGTGTGGCAGGGGAAACAAGACAGAATTACCACAGAACTTGGCATAGCTTTTGAATTTTAAAAAGCAATTGTGTTTCGGCCCATTAATGGGAAACCTTGATTGGATCGGACCATTACATACTTGGGGATATCAGGATGAAACGCAGAGTTTTCCATGCAAAACATGGCAAATCCAATTTTAATGTGGCTTTGAATGAAAATGAAGATACCATGTTTTTTTGAGGGGTTTAGTAATTCAGTGTTAGGTCTTGCATACGTATCAAGCATACAGTTGTGGGTAGCAATGGAAAACTCAGGACTTCCAGTGTAAAATGGGACAACATTTTGGCACAGTTTGTGAGGGCAATGCCAAAGGCGAGGTCAGAGAAAGGACATTAACGTCAACATGCATGAAGGACATTTTTTTCCTGGCCTTCCCTCCGCTGTGTCTTCTGGGAAGGAGGATTTTGCTCAACCCCTTTCCTCTTTGAACCTGGACCAAAACTGGCTTTTCCTAGACCTCTGCACACCAGATCCAGATGGAAGCATTTCTGCAGGTGCGGCTATCATATAGTGTTTATTACTCTTCAATTTTGTGCCTTCTTTTCTGATACAAAGACCATTAGCAGCCACGAAAACCTTCCTACCTGAGCTGATCTGACTGCAGCCATTTTCCTTCCCTTTCTTCTGGATACAGACGGAGGCCCAATTCTGCATTCTGTAAAAGGGAGAAGACCAACAAGAAAAGGGAACATTACACATTGTACTGTATGGAAAGGATTGTCAATGCTATGGAAGAGAACCCCATTAGAGAACTGTTCTCTGTGTGTGTGTGTCTGTGTGTCTTTCTCTTGTGTTTGTATGTGAATCAACTGTTTCTGCTCTGTAGTTATGTCTGGGGGGTGGGGGTAATAAGATTTATACACAGATTTTGAAATACACAGGAGTCTAAAGCCCCTAACTCCAGCACTGTTGAAAGGAGAAGTGTGGTTAACATTCACTGGTAGATCTATCCTCTGCTGGCTTTTCTAATTGCTTTAAAATAAATTGAACCAAGTGGTAACTGTCACTTTAAAAGCGACTGACACCCTTTAAAAGATATGACAACATTCCCATATGAAGACACTGTCAGATATACTTTACAAATAGTTATTTTTGCCAGTCCAGAAGCTACATTCAAGCACCTTTATTGGGTTACCCTGAGTTCTAATATTACAGTATTTAGACACTGTGCATCTCTTTGACAGTTTTCTGTACCTTGTTTAAGCAAATTGCAATCTCCAAGAAACACAGAAGAATGGAAAGACTTTGACATGGTCAGACACATCTAGTTGCAGGGTAAGGAAGGCCCTTAGGAGCCCATTCAGAGAAGGAGCTTTTTCAGTTGGCAAGGTCTGAACTCTCATTAACTAACACAGGTCATGTGACTTTCTTCCTCATTCCAAACTTATTCTTATGTTAAGAAAAGCTGAACAGAGAAAGAGGTGAGAAAGATGGGTTTAAGAGAGAGAGAGAGAGATCTCTTAACCTAGATAAGAGAACTGGATTTTGTAACACATCTCTAGAGTGGGTTGCGTAGGGAACTTGTAGTCCTCCAGATGTCACTAGATTCCAACTCCCATAATACCTCACTACTGGGTCTTGTGGCCAGTAGTGGACTCTCAGCATCCACTCCTCCTCTAGCATTTATTGTAAATATGTGAAGTATTGCAAACATGTACACATTCTGTTTTCACCTGAGAAATGGGGTGATGTGTCCTCCATGTTCTCCAAGATGGGCTGATCTGGAAACTACAGGTCTGGTTGAAGCGAGGAAATAAAAACAGGCTTCCCAAGTAGAAATCCTGCTCAAGAACACAAAATAAAAGTGAGAAAGTCCTTGGGTGGGATTGAGGTTTTTAAAATGTGGAGCTGTGTGCTAATCGAACCAATACAGAAGCTTGTTCCTAACACAGACACTTTGCAGGCTTTTAAAGTGGCCGTAGGAGCTTCTGAGTCAGTTGGAACAATGGCTAGAATTAAAACTGGGATTTCAAATGGCAGCTAATTAATGAGATGCTAGCCATGTGACCAGACACAAAACCAGGCATGCCACCATCATGCTTCCACCTTACATGCTTTCACTTACTAAGCAGTGAAACTGCAAACAGGCTTCTGGGCGACATTTTCCAAAATATGCTTTAGGAGCATAAAGCATACACTGGATGAAATCCTGTTGCTAGAATGTAAGCAGCATAAGATTCATGATGACATCAACTATGGTCACTTTTTTTGAAAATAAAACTTTAAATTCTACCTCCAAGGGGTACTTGTTGATATCTATGCAACACAGAATATATGTTTATGTATATATAAATATTTGTGATGTGGCGCTGCAGGCTAAACTGCAGAAGCCTGTGCTGCAGGGTCAGAAGACCAAGCAGTCGTAAGATCAAGTCCACACGACGGAGTGAGCTCCTGTCGCTTGTCCCACCTCCCTCCAACCTAGCGGTTTGAAAGCATGCAAATGCAAGTAGATAAATAGGGACCACTTCAGTGGGAAGGTAACAGCGTTCCGTGTCTAAGTCGCACTGGCCGTGTGACCACGGAAGATTGTCTTCGGACAAACGCTGGCTCTATGGCTTGGAAACGGGGATGAGCACCGCCCCCTAGAGTCGAACACGACTGGACAAAAATTGTCAAGGGGAACCTTTAGCTATGAGCGGAATGCGATATTTACATAGAATATGTTCAGTCAATCAGATTGTATCTATAGTCTGACAGACAGCTATAAAAGGCAGTGTCAGCTAGGAGTCTGTGCAGTTAGGGATAGAAATGGGGCCCAATCTGTGATAGGGACTGATAGGGCTGACAGGGTCTTATGATACATACCTCAGACAGTACAAAGTGATAACTATTTACCAGTGAATGTCTGTCATACCAAGTAATTAAGCATGGTACTTATATATATGACTAGTAAGCATTATTTAAAAACCAGGTCACTAGTGTTTATTTGAATTACAGTTGCTGGCACACAAAACACATAATATGGGAGAACAACAATTATACTTTATAGGAAAAAAAGTGGTATTTTTAACCTCAAACGCTTTCGACTGCACAAGATGCTAATTCTGCTACTTGATAAACCCAACAGTCCTAGGGCTCCCCTGGGATCCATTTTGTTGTGGAGAAGCCCTTGTGGGCTGTGGGAGGGGGGAGTGTTTAATTTCTGAAAATCACGGCCAGTAAAAAAAAATCATCCCACTGACAGTGATTTTTTAAAATTAAACACTCCCTCATCCCACTCCCACAAAGTCTTCTGCATGGCAAAAGGGAGCCTCAGGATCTGCGGGGTGGAAGAAATCAGAAATTTTTAATGCATGAAAAATCACGGTAGCTGACGACCTTATCAGTCTTGTACAGCATCACTTCTGACAACAGAATTTCAGCCACTATAGGCTAACGTCTTCTTTCTTGGGAGTCTGGTGGAAGTCAAATTTCCCATTCACGTTTCAGGAAGAGATAATGATGAAGCTTAGTTTTGCCCCATAGTTTGCAAGTTAGGGCTGGCAACCATTCTCCCAATTCAGATGTCACTAAAAAAGAAGGCTGGAACATCCCAGATACAGAGAAGGGAATTAGAGAACCATGATAAATATGGAATCTTGCCGATCAAGGTGTAGACAGTCAAACAGCACATGGCTTCTGTTTGCTTGAAAATCAACCATCAGGCCCTGAGGGAACCATTTTAAAAACATTTCTTTTCACTTATTTCAGCTATTAGAATATCCTTTTTATGACCTTTGTGCCACAGGATTCAAATGACTTACAAAATTTATCCTCAACACATAAAAAGCAACCTTTTAATGAAGACAGTGAAGACTTTTACACAGTAACAATAAAAAAACAATGAAACACTACTCTCTCCAGAAGCAAGGCTGTTATTTGCTGCCCATCCCCATTATCTGATACGATTCTGTTGCAGCCATTTCCATTCTCCATCTGGCGATAATCCTGGTGGTTCTCCTGCAGTTTTGGAGCCTTGAAAGAGTAACATAAGCCAGGTCCCTATGTCTTCCACCCTGCCCACATCCATTACGGACCTGCTGCCGTTCATCATTGGAAGTAAGAAACATAGAGGATTTCATTCAAGACTGCAATTCATTGTCTGGAGCTTAGGGACCACCTCCATTCCCACCCTTGGGTGCCCAGATGTTCTCGGGCTAAAACTCCCCCAGAAGCCTCCCCCCCCACCAGCTGTACTGGCCAGGATTTCTGGGAGTCGTAGTCCAAGAACATCTGGGCAGCCAAGGTTGGGAACCCCTAGCCTAAGGGAATATTTATTAAACTTCTGAAAACCATGCCTTTCCAGCAAATGGCTAAGAGCATCCCATAATAAAGACAACCATTAAACAGTGCCCAAGAGAAGACCCACCACTTTCCCCCACCCCCGCATTGACAGCTGTCCCCTCCCCTCTTTCTCTCCTTGCGGCTTCTCCCTCCTTCTCCTTTATCATCATCCCACCCCCCTGATTTTGCACCGCCAGCGATTCTCACCCCCCTTCTCCCCACGGATCGCCTTCACGATTTGCAGGAAGCCTGCAGGAGAAACAAGGGATGGGGTTCGGGCGTCGCACCGCTTCCCTTTTTTACTCTCTGAATGGATCCTTCTGTTGGCTGCCCAGCCTGTTCCCCGCTTCCCGTCACGTGACTGAAGCCATGCCAGGCTCCTGGTAAACCTCCATTGCTTCCGGAGTCCAAAGATGAGCATCGGAGTTGCTACTTTTTGGCCATTGATAGAAGAGGGAGACGGAGAGCTCTCTTTTTTTGCAATATTTCTGCAGCCTTTTCCTTCTACATACCCGCTTCTGTTGCCCCTTCGATGCTTCCCAGGCCCAATTTATACAGGGACCTGTGGCTTAGTTATAATACAGTACTGTACAGTATATTATTTCATCAACTGCTCAGCACGCACTTCATGGACACCAAACCCCTGGAGAATGGCTGAAGTCTGGGGAAACTTTCTGCGCTCATCTCAAGCTCTAACCGCTTTGGGTCAAAAATTAGCCTGATTGTCATGAGATTTTAATTGGGTTTTGATTTTGCCTGTATTTCCTGTGCGTCTTTGGTTTTGAACTGTGCAACGCTCCGATACGAATGATACCTGACATGATTAATGGCAGTGGGAGGAATCAGGGTTGCATCTAGGAGCAGCTTTTCTAAAATTCCTTCCATAGAGTGCGTCTCATTTTCTGAGATGGCATAACTTCCATAAAAGGCTGTATTCTGTAACTGACTCCATTGCTGCTAAGGAATAAACCAATCAAGAGAAACACACACACACACAAAAGAAAGAAAAGAGGGAGAGAAGATGTTGTAGCACTTTAAAAACTTAACTGCTATATTTTGATGTAAGCTTCCGTGGAAGATTGCCCACCTCTCAGACATACAAGCAGAATACAGAGCCATGCCTTGAGCAAGCTATGTGGTTGGTGCCAGGTCACCACTGGAGCAACTAGCAAATCACTTTGGTGTACTTTATTCCCTAGAAAACTGGGAGAGTTCCCACAAAGCAAAATCAGCTTGGCCAGACATAATTATTATATATTACATTTCCAGTAATCAGTAAATTGAGCACTTGGGTTGCTGGGGTGGGGTGTGCAATGTGTAGCCTGCATCATTAAATTATAAACCACGCAGAGAGGGTTTTCAGTTTTATGGAGCAGTATATACTGTATGCAGCATGAGATGGTTGGACAGTGTCATTGAAGTGACCAACATAAATTTGACCAAACTCCAGAAGGCAGTGGAAGACAGGAGGGCCTGGCATGCTCTGGTCCATGGGGTCACGAAGAGTCAGACAAGACTAAACGACGACGATATGCTGCACACGTTTTGCCAACTATCTGGACAGCAGGAATCTGGAAGAGTTTTCCAGGCAATTCTCCAGAAATCATTTTCCTCCAGGATATTAGGCAGGCATCTTCTGCACGCACAGCACATGGCTCTACCATTGAACTAAAACAATGAAGAATGACCCCTGAAAGTCAGACAGGGCTTCAGTGGTGGAGGAACGGCATGGAATTGTCATTGTTTACTTTTACTGTATCATTGTAATGATGTTGTGGTTGGATTGTAACTGTTTTTGACTATTGGAATGCACTCTGGTATTGAGCGCAATATAAATGATGATGATGATGACACACTGTGTCTCCCTGACAGGATGATTATTGCTCCGCAGCTCCCCAGTACAAAGGCCCCTCTTCTCACACACCGCCGCCCGAAGAAAGGTGGCAGGATCGTTTCCCCTGTTCAGAGACCTCGCTTGGCCTCGATCACATGACGGGAGGCGGAACTCCAGAGGTACAAAGCGAGGGGGGAAAGGAGTGCATCATTAAAAAGGATCCTCCGGAAACAGCACCCTCGCTGACTGAGAGTTTTAAGTCTCCCGGGAACCAGAGAGGCGGAGAAGGTAAGGGCGCGATAAGAGCTGCAGATGTACCCTAGGATCGTGGGAGGTAGGGTGGCAAGTGGACAGTCCTTGTAGGAGGAAGGAAGAAATGGAGTTGATTTGCGGGTGAGAATAGGAAAGGGATCGATCAGCTGCAGCAGAGATGGGTGGGCATTCGTAGGTAGATGGGGCTCTTCTCTAGTAAATCTGTGGGTGGTTTGCAGGAGAAGATGGTAAGGATATATTTTTTAATTCCCCATTATTTAGCAACAGTAGGAACACGCTCCCTTCCTCCCTCTCCCCCCCCTCCCCGCGATATCGTAAATAATTTTGATGCAGGAAACCTTTATTTATTTTGTTGTCGGGAGAAGGGCTGTAAGATCTTTCCCGCTGGGGTTTCCCCATTCCTGTGCCAAGAATTCATACTTCGTAGAGTATGTCTCATGTGTGAGATTTCAAGTGATGGATCTGAAAACCTGAAATAGATAGCCCCGCAGAGGAATCTGTCAGACTAATATATTTCTGCAGTCTAAAATTCCATGAGGTTTTGTTTAAAATCCCCTTAAACAACTCAGTAGGATTTCCTTTTTGTGTGGACAGACATGGGACGGTGCCGTCAAATCAATTTCCTTGTCTTTGTAGCCCAGCCCCCTGCCATTCTCATGTGAGCCAGTGTTAATTTACCCAGGCTTCGTGCTCTGGAGAGGACACTCCAGCTTCGCATACAGCGTCGACACAACACGGAAAGGGATTGTCAATCTCGAAATTGGCCTTCTCAGCCACACTAGACGCTGTTCCAAGTCCTCCATACAGAGCACGTTGCCATAGTCTCTTGAGACTGAAGGATGCCTAATCAGTTGTATACATAGGATTCCTTTATGGTGCAGCATCCTGATTGCAACAGGCTACTGTCTACATAAGTTTTGCTTAATAAATCGTGTTCATTTTTAAAGTGCCACAACAGTCTTTGTTATTTTACACAAATAAAATTGTTAGAAAAAGACAGGAGAAGAAACTGCATGTCCTAATTCAAAGTATTGTGTTAATAATGCCAGAGAAACCAAGGAGCAAAGCGTTCTGTGCTTCAGCATTACTGAAACAATGTATATGGAGGCACTGGAGCACCTCAAAACAGAAGTAGGAAATCTGTATAGCTCTACAAGATATGGTTGACTTCCAGCGATCATCATATCTCATCACTATCCTTCTCTAGGAATAAAAGGAGTTGGTTGGTGTCCAGTGATATTTGGTAGGCCACATACAAAAATCTTCATTTTAAAAGGATGATGTAAATGCTAGCATTATTACTCTCACTG